TCTGCTCTGCCTGTTGGACACCTCTGAGCCTTGTGGCAGGTGTGAGTGGCATGCGCACACACAGACACACAGACACAGACAGATACACACACACACAGACACACACACACACACGCGCAGGCTGTGACATGCAGGGTCTCAGCACAGCATTTCTCTCCCTTTTGCCCCTGTGAGACAGCACAGCTGATCAACAGTAGGTGAAGGCTGAGCACAGTGTCCTGCGTTAGCTCCTGTCCACCCCTTGAACTCCTGCTGCTAGTAAAATTCTCTTCATCCTCAACCAATGGAATTCCTGGATGGGGTGAAAGTCTGGAAATCTGACCTCTGAGATCTTCAAGACCCTTCTGCAGGTAAATCTTGTCATAGTGCTCTATATGATTTCAACAAATGACTTCTTCTGCAGCAACCAAATTTTCCTTGCTGGAAGTTCATAACTGTTTATCCTCAAGAGAGAATAATTTTCTCATTCTTATTAGAACTCTACTTTCTCTCTCCCTCTCTTTGACTTCTCCCTATCCTTGCACCCTAGGTAACTAAAGTTCAGCTTACAACAGGAAAAAATCAACAAAAATAGAATATATACAAACAACTGCAGCTGGCAGGTGAATTACAATTGTGTGCTCAATGTTTAGTGTATAATGCAGAATTAATAATTTGTACACAAAGAATCACCAAATTTCTCACAATATAATTTAAGATATATTTAAAGGGATGTTGTGATGGTTTAACAGGAAGTAGGAAAACAGATGTTTTAATGATATAGGACTATAAATACTTTCATTTCAACTTTCATGATCTGAACAGCTGTTATTAGTAAAATGCATTCTTCAAACACAACAGTACTGCTGGTTTCTGCTCTAATTGTAGAACTGGTGTCAGTAGCTCATTAAAACTGAAAAAAAAGAGGCGAACCTGTGTTTTCAGAAACTTAACAAAATCATGTAGTATGTGCTAATACAGTTGGAAGACATTAGTTTAGGAGCAAAATACAATGCCCTATTTAGTCTATTCATGAACGGTGAAAGGGTCACTCAAAATGTTTTCTCTTCTGAAAATTTATTTTCTTGGTGAAAAGAAGAGCCCCAGAGAAAGTTTATCTTCCTAAAATTTTAAGCCTCCTTTTTGTGTGCAATTATTTTCTTTTGCCACTGCTCATTACAAGCAGAGGAAGAAAACTCTTGTTTGTGTGTGGAGCTTGAGCCAACTGAGTGGGACATGGGAACCTCTCTCAGCTGTAGAGCTGAGATGGCTTTGCAGTTTTGAAAAGTTTACTGAGGTCATTAGTTATTCCTGATAGAGAGCATTACTTTTTAAGGGAATGAAAGAATCTCTGAAGAAACAATCTCAGTTGATACTCTCAGAGGCCAAAACAACAAGAAACTAAACAAAAACAAAACCCCAAACCAAACAAAAATGAAGTGGACATGAAAAAACTGAGAAAGCCTGAAAATCTCTATCAATGAATGGGGACTAAACTTTCACATAAGACTTATTTTGACTTCTAAATAAGTAAATATTAGGGTGGGAGGGGATGGGGAGAAATTATACCATTATTTTATTATTCCTTCAGAAGATTTTCTTGACTTCAACTATTTCCCTGCCGCAGAATTTCAGTTCAGTTGCTTGATTTTTTAAATCTCGGAGAGTTCCTTTACACTCTTCTATGCGTCTATATTCCTGATATTTGCTTTCCAAGAAAAATATTGAAAGATAACATACTTTAAAAATAGGAAATCTTGCATTTTTTTCTCCTTTAAATACCTTATATAAGATAGTCATAGGCAAGATATGGTGAGATAGCATGCTGCCAAAAGAGGTTGGTGGAGGATAACAAGCATGTGAGCACTTCCCTTCTAAGGAGAAGCCCATGGACCTATCCTGAGCGCTGTCACCTCCTCCTACTTTCCGTTCAGGATGCGAGATGGTGTGACCATGGGCAGACCAGACAGCAGTGGCAGTGTCTGGCATGAGCAGCAGGAAGGCAGAGTCTATTTTTATCAGACGCAAGGATAAATTTTTATTTAACATTTCTGCAAAGCTCACACGTGGCGTGTCACCCGGAGCCGTGCGTGTGCAGGGGTGAAGGAGTGTGGGTGTGCTTTTTTCCCATAGAAGGGTTTCTGGGAGAGGGAGGTTTTCATCCCACACGTACCAGGCTGAAAGCAAAGAAACTGTGTTTAGAAAGGTGCTAAATAAAGTAAGTGATTGAACAGAGGAGAAGGAGGATGAAAGAACTATGCTGAAGCTGCTGTCAAAATAAAATGGGACAATTGCTTAAAACAAAAGCCTGGAATACTGTAGGGTACTTAGAAGATTTAATTAGAACTACGTAGGCCTGATTTGCCATTGTTTGTACCTTATATAATCATATAAATTGTTCAAGGTACCATATTGTAATAAGGGGAGATATTTACATTATTCATCAAGATAGAAAATACATTAATGTTGCTACACATATTCAAATAAAATATATATGCAAACAAACAAAGAAACAACAAAAAAGTCATGCTGTCTTTCTATCGTGTTTGAAAACGGTCATGATAGAATGTAGAGCAGCCAAGAATCTCCAAACTTTCCATTTTAATTTGGCTGTTTGTACCTTGTTCTCATTATTAACATACCATTTATTATTTGTATGCTTGCAAGTTATACAGTTGTATCAAGATTTCTACATGGAAAATCCTCACTGAATTTGCAAGGCCACCTTAGCTTTGTAATCTACCTGTTATAGTGTATTACAATGTTGTAGCATTATATACTATCAAGCAAGTGGGATATATTGTTCAGGAAATATAACACAGGATAATTTTAACAGAGAGTAAATTTTAAGACAGAAGGGATTTTCATCTGTTTGGTGGAAATATTTTATCTCTTTGTTCCCAGTTGGCCATATGTGCAATGTACAATTTTCTAGCAAATATATGGCAAAGCAGCTGGGAAGAAGGCTGGTAGTTGTAAGGTCCTATCATTTGGGTCAGGGAGAAGTGCTCTGGAAGGTGGGAGGTAGCATCATCATGCACAAAAGTCCCTATTTTGCATGTTTACACAGGAGAAACACCTGGAGTTCAGGGTGGGACTGTAATGAGACAATTTGGACAGCAGGGATGTACCCAGGAGAAGACGGGGAGATGTCAATGCTCCTGAGGGGAATGTGGGCAGCAACAAGGCTTGCTCTACTGGTGGAAAACCAGAACAAAGACTGCACAATGAAGGGCAAGACTTCCTTGGCAAGAATATGTAGTTAATTGTAAAGCAGGCTGTTACTGGAAGTTAGTGGTCTGAGGAAAGGATCTGACCTTTAAGAATATAGTGTTCCAGGGATAGGATGGAATTTGATCACTTTTTCATTTACCCCTCTTCCCTAGCAAATCAGAATGAATCTGATGATCTGTATCTGCAAGGTATATAAAAAAATTAACCTGATTTAATGTAGTGAATTTTGAGGGAATGCACTTTAGGGAACCTATTTTGTAAGTGTAGAGTTCCATCAAAGCAGTCATTCAGTTTAATTTGAATAATACTTAGACTTTCATGAGTAAATTCTTGCTGAATTTTCATGATAACTTAAATGATTATCCAGCCTTTGCAGTCAACTTCAGTAATAGAAATTTAGCTGTCTTTGGCAAGCTGTGTAAAGAGTTAATTAGCTTCACCGTGTTATACCTTCTGTTTGGTTTAGTGAATTTAGAATTTATCTCTCTTCTGTCCTTGGCTGTCATTAATTTTCAGTCTCCTCGATTGCAGTCTACATGGATCTTCAAGTTCTTCATTAATTATTTTAGGTAAACTCATTAGACAGTGTTCCTTTTGTCTTTCTACATTTCAACATTTTAATCATATTTCAGGTCTCTGAAGGCAGAGGGAATGTAATTTTTCTGTGCTGTATTCCATTGATAAAAAATTGCAGGCTAGACTTTTTCACTCTCTGTTTCACAGAGACTGAGAGGCTCTCTGAAGCTACAGACTCCCACAATGGGTCTCCATCCTGTCAATATAAATGGAATCACTTATTCCTAGGTAGCCTACTTACCTTCCAGTTGTTGCCACGGAGAGAGAAAAACACATTAAAATATAATTTATAGTGACTTTTTACTTAAAAACATCTAATGTAAAGAAATCTCATTTAAGAACTTGAAAGATTGATCCTTTTACAGTGTAAGAAAAACAGTGCGATCATTAGTTTTTTCCAACATTAAAGTCTGCAGCATGGTGACAGCGCTCATCCTAGATTATGGGATACAGAAATTACAAGGCTGACTTTAGAAATCAAATGGCTCTGAATGTCAGAGAAATTGACAATCTTTCTATTGCAGACTTTTAAACATTTATTTTCTTAAGTAGCAAACAGTAAATTATATTAATAAAAACAATAACTCAAAGGGATTTTACTCAAAATTATTTAAGATATATCTAAGGTTTCTATGTGGTTGAAGTCTTGAAGTCTGGAAGTCTTCTTTCATACCACAGATAGACAGACCATAAAGACTTTTTCCCAAGTAGAGTGTATGAATAGATAAGATTTTTTTTTTTTAATTTAGGTGCTGTGATTTTTGTGAATGGGAGAATTGCAGCTCTTAAGCTAGAATGTCTTTTAACATAATTTACTAAAGCATGTCCTGAGGGTCACATCAAACCATTTTCTTATTATAACTAGTGTGAAAGAAGAACAAGATTACGCAAAGTTTAATTAGATTGGCCCCATAATTTATGCTGCTGAATATTTGCTGAAACTGTTAACAGAACATTGATGTACTCAAAGTTTACAGTAATAGCCTTTTTGCAATGTCATCACAGACTCAGGGTCCCATAAAGACTGTTTTGTCTAAACGTGCGCAAAAATAAAACCATAGATAGGTATAAATTGTATTTTTTAGCATTTCAAATTATTTCAATATCATTCTGCTCTAAGTCAATTCCATTAATATTTGCTGCACTGGAATTGTGGATACTAAACTTCCGTTGAATGAATTATAAGCAGGTTTTTGCTGGGTTTTGTATTTTTCAACAGATGCTTTTGAAGTGTCTGAGAAACAAAATAATCCCATATTTACCAAGCAAGGATGAAATGTTGCTTTTACTGCCCTGATAAAATTGGAGATTCATTGCAGCGAGTGATTTGGGAAAGGATTAAAGCAGATTGGGTAGATTTTGTCATTCTGTGCAACTCATCAGGAAAGCAAAGCTTTGGTTTAGATTTCAAAGAATGTACACCAGTGGATTGTTCTGATCAGGAAAACTCCAGGATTGTCTTTCAAAACATTACAGCCTCTGACTTTGTGATGTACTTCCATGTAGCTGCTGGGAGAAAAAAAACTAAATGATAAATTTTACTGTGGCTGGTAAGTAGAGGAGAAAATTGTAAATGTTATCAAAATAGGACCTTCTGAAGCATTAGCACTTTTACAGAAATAAAATAACTCTTCAGTAACAAGTGAGGATTTATTTAAATACCGCATTCCAATTAGAAGCATGTAAAAGATAGCAAAGTAAATATTTTCATAAAAATAAGCTGGGTTTAAGTTTGTCTGATCTCTTTGCGGGACTTTAGACCTGTTTGTGAGAAACTGGTTTGATATTAACAATCACAGAATAGAATAGAATCATGGAATTATTTAGACTGTGAAAAACCTCCAGGATCATCACGCCCAAACTTTGAGTGGGCACCATCTTGTGTACTAAATCATTCTTGTTGTTTCTTGAACACCTCCAGGGACAGTGGCTTCATTGCCTGCCTGGGCAGATTGCTTCAATGTCTGACCACCTTTTCCTGGTGTCCAACCAGAACATCCCTGAAGGTGAAGCTTCAGGGAGTCTCTTGTCCTGTCACTGGGTGCCTGGGAAAAGAGACCAACCCCCACCTGGCTACAGCCTTTTCAGGTGATTGTAGAGAGTGTAAGGTCTCCTCTGATCCTTCTTTTCTCAGGGCTAAAGAACCCCAGTTCCTTCAGCTGCTCCTCATATGACTTACAAGAAGGAGATGCTTTGGAAGGGGAGCCTGAGCTTGCAGGAGGAGATGGGCATTCTCCCAGAGAAGGCTCAAGGAGAATTCCCCATCAGCACATTGTACTGCAGGGCCTTGGGGATGAGACCTGTCCTCCCACAAAGGCAAAGAGCACACTCACAGCCATATTTCTCATGTGGAAATTTGTGAACTGGGCTCCACCTTATTCAGGTAAGGGGTTTCCTCATGGAGAGCTGAGCAGCTCTGAAGGTTTTGCTGTTACCATTGTCACAGCTTGCTTATAATGGGACCTACATGTCCCAAGACATGGACACTTGAAATTTCTCAAACTCTGGATTTAATTCCACATTTACTTCTGTTTTTTGTTATGACCTCCCCACCAAAAAAAAAAAAAAAAAAAAAAAAAGACTTGGTTTTGCTTCTTCTCTGTAGAATGCATTTTGAGCACCTAATCCTTGTGCCTCCCCAGACCTCCTTCTGTTGCAGCATTTGGTCCTGCTTTTATTGATCTGTCCTTGTTCCTAGTGATACATGAGTGTTTGGCAGTGCTGTGGCATGGTCTAAAACTCCAGAATATGCTTAAACTCTGATATGGTTAATTGAGAAGAGGAGAATATGCTTGGAAAAAAACCCATGATGACCTGCCTTACTTTGAATACTTGACACCACAATTTTCTGCTATGAAAATTAGCAGAATGTGAGCAAAATACAGTAAACAGGACAAAAAGTCCACACCTCTAACAATTTTAAACATTCAAATTTTAAAATTTTGATTATATTGCTATAATCAAGCATGTCTTAATTGCAGAACAATAGAAATATTTCCTTCTTACTCCCGAGTGCAGCACGCCTAACACCAAAATGAAAACATATAGTTGCAAAAAATACAGTAACCTTCAGAATGATCAGTTCTACCTATACAAAATATTTTTTCTCCAAAAGTAGAGAGTTTAGTTTCCATGCTTCTTTTGCTCTTGAAACAAATTTGGTTTCTGATTTTAGTCCTAGCAACAGTAGAATAGTTGTGGCTGTTTACTGAAGAAAAGAATATGAAAACATTGAAGAATACTAAGTACAATATGATTCAGAAAACACTCCATTGTATCCCTTTTAAGCCTTCACCCTGTATCATTAAGTACATTTTCTTGAGTCTTCATTAATTTCAAAGAAAGTGAAATATCAAGGATTTACTATTATTTCTCTTCAACATTTGAAACTTTTTCATAAGATGCAATCAATATTTATGGTGTGATAAGGAAAAAACGGTAAGTGGAGAGAAACAGCAGGTCAGGCATGAGCTCCCACTGCACCCTGTGGCACAGTGAAGTCTCTCACAAACTCATGAGCGACTTGCTCTGCTTGATCCAACAGTTGTGGCTAGAATTAAACAAACTGCTGCCAGAAACTTGCTGCACAATGTTTTTTTTTTTTTTTTTTTTTTTTTTTTTTTTTTTTTGTATGTTCTACCAGTTCAGTCATGTCATTTTCTTT